AAAGGAGCCCATTACATTCAATACTTAATTTGTGATAAATTGCTACATCGCACGTGCAATAAAAACAGTTGTGATCTGTTTTCAAAGCGCTAGCGTCGGTAAATGAAATCATCATCACCGATGCTTCGTTACTTTTACGTATTCATGCACAAATTTGCTAGTCATTAAACTGCATTAAAAACACAGACATATTCAATTCCAAAAGTTCAGTCTTCATGGATGTCACGCTTTGCATAGCTTATTTTAAAAATAAGATAAAATTATCTGATTAACTCATATTAAGCTCTAGCTAATAAATAAATTTAATATTAAAAAAAGACAATCTATAAAATATGAAAAACCGAATAAAAATATTAAATATTTAATATTATGTAATGAAAGCTAAACCAAAATTCTGATTTACGTGTCTTAAAACTGTTAAATAAGAAATAAGTTATTTAATTCCAAAATTTAACATGCGTATTATAGTCGCAAGAACTTAATCGTATTACCGTAAAAGTACAAATACCGTCCATTAACCCTAGTAACAATAATCGTAATTCGTTAATTACTAATAGTGGTCTGTAATGATGTCGATTTTTATAAACAGGCTGTCTCATTAAAATATCGGACGTGATGCATATGAATAGCTGTATCATCAGTACGACTTCCTTTTTATTAACAGATTTCTAGGAATGTTCATGAGGGCGATATTAGAATTATTAGTCATAGGCCTATTAAATATGGTGTAATAAAGTAGGTGAGAAGTTTCTATGATTTACTAGAAATTAGCGATTAAATCATATTATCTTAACGTATTATCTTAAGATGAATAATTGAGGTTTAAATTATTGCAAACTATTGCAGTATAATGATGTAATCCGAATTATCTAAGTGAATTAATTTTATGTTAAAATGCCTTCTTTCCACATTTGAATTGATAATTATTGATACTGATAATAAGAATTAAAGCAAGACTACCTTAAATACTGAATTTTCAGTATAAAGTAATAAAATCTACGATCGTTACACCTCGCGTTCTGCGTAAAGGTAAATATACCTTTTCCTTTCCATTATAATTATTATTAACGTAAGTTTGATAATGAACTATTAACTCTTTATGCTATACGAACCAAATGAAAATAGGTATTATGCGAGTATTAATATTAGTTTGATTAAGCCTATTCAAACAAAATAATAAAATGCAGAATCTTGCAAACTTCAATTTATTACTTAAAATTGGCTTGATCTTAAAACTATTGATAGACAGTTACGCAATCTCATATTCTAACGTGTAAGTTAAATTATTCTCGTACATTCATATGATCTTAATTGTAGCCATATTTGAGGCTAAACCGCAAATAGCTAGGCTTAACAACCAGATTTATCAAGTCATGATCCGACTTTGTCAGTTAAAAGGTAAGATCGAATTAATTGCTTAAGTCAATAACTAAAATTAAGTCGATAGATCCTTGACGCAAATTTTACCATTATACCATTTGTTTCATATTTTTAATTGTTCAATGATAAAAGAGGATTCAGAGATTCACACAAAGATACAGTCCAGCAATAATCTTTACATAATGAATTACATAGATGAGGAATACTATAGTAATTTATGTATGGAGAGTTTAATTTTAGCCTATTGCAATCTGATCTTAAAAATGTTTTGATCATTATCAATTGAGCTTTTATTATCTAGTTTTGCTCATAGATTTAAAAACTATTCTTATAATACTACTAGCAAAGTCTCTCTGCTATAATAAATAATACTTACCTGCATTTATTACCATAATCTTTGCAAATACCAAATGCTGTATTGAACTTATTACATGCCATAATTTCTCTATTTTAATAATTGTTCTGGATAATGAACTGGGTCTCAATAGACGTAAGCTGGAAACTTACTAAGTATTAAAAAAATGAAGAGATACATAACGATTAGGTATACGTAGCACCAATACCAGAGTTTCCTTTAATAAAATTAATATGTAATTCGGTAGCGAACTGAAAAATGGAATCAAATGCTACTTTTTAGATTTTAGGTGTCATGAGTCAATCTCGTTGGAATTTCCTATATGTACGTATGTAGGTTGTAAGAGTCAATCAAGAAGGTCTTGACTATTTCTTTACTTTAATAGCTACTGGACTTTGTCACGAATGTAATCTGTAACCGCAAGTTTAGTCACAAGTGTTTTAGAAATTCTAGTTCAATTAATTTATTCAAATCCTAAGATGAGATAATTTAATTTAATCAACCTTAAAATTAGCTTAAATTCAGCTATCACTTCAACACCTCAAGTAACTATAAGGGTAATCGGGTATTTCTTAACAATAAACTATTATTTACTGTTTGTATATGTAGATCACGTATGAACACAAATTATAAAGTAAAAAAATAAGTGATTCAGCGATATAGTATACATAATATTTATCATATTCAAGAATACAGCTATATTCAGCCATTTATAAGTTTATTTTTTATTTTTCTTGTATTCAGATTGAAGTCTTTCACTAATTTGTCACTACAATCTGCATATGCATTATAAAAATAGATAAACAATACGATAATGAAGGAGAAAGTCTGTTTTCTCAATTTTATGTTATTTATTCTATTAATGCATTGAAAATTTGCATGATCCATTCTTCACGAGTTGCTTCCTGGAAACATAATATTATAAAGAATTAAAAGTTGATTTAATGAGTGGTTCCAAAGTGCTAACAATTTTACAGTATATAAAACTGATGAAATGGATTTATTCTTTGCAATAAAGAGTAGGATAATTTTAATTCCACAACATCAATTCAGTTGATCATTGAAATTATGCCACTATAGAGATATTAACTGTCAAACTATTTTTGTTGAACACAATAAGTGCTATCGCCATATATCCTACTGAGCTTGAACAGAAATTTGTTTAAAATTGTAAAAGGTCGCAAATGCTCTTGTCCATTGTCACAAACCAGCTTCATGACAAAGATAGCTTAAAATAAATCTCTAAATTACTATAGTCTCCGGGATTCAGTATCCCTTAACTACCTGACAAGAATTTAGAAGCCTTTGCTTCTGCATTAAACAACTATTAGAACACCTCTTTTATTCAACCGTCTGCTGAGCCGGCCGAGCTTAAATACCCTTCGGCAGCTGCTATCATGTATGAGTGATACACAGAATTATTTATAATATCATCTATAATTGAATATCTTCAGGATATTCATCACAAGTCTTTCAAGACATAACACTATAATCAGTTAACATCAGTCACCGTATAAGAACTCTTACTACAGTACAACATAATTTACTGTAACAAAACAATAACTACCGTAGTTCTTAGTGTAACTCATTATTAGCTATCTCCATATATAAATGTTAACCGCTGAATTTAGTCATTTACTTTTCACGGTGGTTCGTACCGTGGCATGGATTAATAGCTGTGTCATCACTATAGGGGGAAATAAGGACGGTGAATTGGATGGATCTAACTTTCACGTCGTTTCCAAATAACCTGTGCAATACCTGTTTATCGGATGATAATTATGCTGAGATACCAGATCCATTAAACTCTAATATCCTTGCTGTTACATATATCATCATTGGAGGCATTGCAATTCCTATGAATGGATGCTTCATAGGTTATATGATTTATTATCGAAAGCAAATGTCAATTCACGATATCCTGATCATGAATTTATCGATTTCGGATTTCTTCTATTTGGTATCATTGTAAGACACTAATCAACTTTTAACTTTGCTTCAGTATAATTTTATTTGGCTGCGCTTCTTATTATAAGATTTGATTTTGTCTAATCATTAGCCTAGCTATAGTCATAGTAGATCACTTTAAATTTCAAATATAAGGCGCTTACTTTTTGAACTCATTATTTAATTATAATTATTTACCTGATGATCATGAAGCCAAATTTTTCTTTCCTGCTCCATTAAAAGCTTCGTTTCGTTAGCAATCGATAGCATATAACACAAAAAGTTCTAAAATTACGATACCATTTATTCTGGTTACTCCTGCTAGCGCTTCAGGTTGATTACGATAACGCACGCAAATAATGAAATAAAATACATGTCGCCTTACAGAAAATTATGATGCGAACAGAAAATTTAATAACATTTTATTCCATCCGGAGACTATTGTAAAAATAAATTTAAACTGACAGTCATTCATAGTAAATATCCAAATATCTTCTGCTGTAGTAGGTACTTGTATATCTATGATATCTTTACAAAGCAAAAGAATTTACTATGGAGTCTAGCTAGTCGATATCATTAAAGGCAATAGTCAGAAGTGAATTTTAATCTTTCTAACGAAGCGTCTTTTCCGAGAAATGTAGCTTCTTATCACTATGCCATAGATCTTATTTTTCTAATACTGTAAACTTATTTCATTCGACAAATAATACTATAATGCTAGCTTAGTACACAGTCGGATTTACAGCGATCTCATGAATAAATTTAGATTACTAAATATATAATTGATGCGAAGTATGGTTAAAATAATTCGATAGTATAACATACAGTACGTTTGCTAGATGTATGACTAGAATCAGTTTTACAAATAAATTATACTATTCCTATACATTGTCAGTCTCGAATTTAATAAGATTTTATCAAGCTTAAATAACGGTGCCAATTAGTTATGTTGTCTCATACCATCTAACTCTAACATAGACCTGCTTCCGAGAAATTCCCTCTAAACGCTATCAGACCAATCAGAGAGCATGGCTAGATTTTAATCCCTCTTAAAATAAACTTCTGTAACAGTTTTATACAGTTAAAATTCAACTAGGTAATTTATAAATTTAACCAATATTGCTTTAGTTTAGTAGATATATTTCGCTATTTCATACAACTAAAATTAATGCTTTGTTTTTATTTCTAATGTAGCTGCTGGAATATATTCCCTGTCGTTCTGCCAAGTGTTGAAAAACCAATCTTTAAGGAAAATAATTTTCTATGTCGATTGATGTTTTCTTCCTTTGTTCTATCTTTCTTCGTCAATATTTGCCTGATGGCTGCCTCAGCGATAGCTAGTTACTGGAAGATTAATAATTCAGGCCCATCTTTTACGATTCGTCGCGCTTGGCAAATGGTCTGCGTGGCATATATTGCACCAGTATTATTACTATTGCTACCAACGGTTGGCCTTTGGGCAAGAATCACATATTTTCATGGTGTTGGTATCTGCATGATAGATTTTAGTTCCGAGATTGATACTAATCATATCGTATTCATGTTCGCAATTGTCTTTCCAATCTTATTTATTACAACAGCAATTATAGGATTTTGTTATTGTCGTATTTACCGAATCGTTCGTCGAAGCAGTAAAGTAATTGCTCAATATAATGCACGAAATCATCAAATGCAAGCTACCACACATAATGCACACAATTGTAATAATACTCCATTTGAGCATCGCAAAACTTATTCTAGACGTGATATCAGTTTAGCTAAGACCCTCGTTGTAATATTTGCATTATTTATTGTATCCTATGCTCCATATGCATTAGCTAACATCTTCTATTTTTTTAATTTAATTGATTTATCATTCACACAAGCACTATATTTGTTGACTGTATCTTGTGTTAATAGTATTTTTAATCCTATCATATTTTACAGTCGTCGGCGAAGACTAGCTATTACCGATAAAATATTCAGGGTTAAGCAAGTAGATACCGGTGTTACAATGGCAATGAAGCAGTTAGAAACTGTTATTAGTCATTGACCTTTACACTTACACCAAAATATACAAACGCTCACACGCTTATTTTAAGGACAAAACGATCAAAATCTTTATCAGATAAAGCTAGCTTGTTAACAAATCAAGTGATATAAGCATACTTTCGATATAAGTGTGATAACTATCAGGTAGTTTTGCTAGATTAATAAAGGAAAATTTAAAACTACTTTGCTTTGATTTCTTGTGTGACAACTTCGGTCTCGACAAGCAACTATTAAACATCGAAGTTCTAGTAACGATAACTATTGAGTCTAATATCAATTTTTAGTTAGACTGCTACAATACTGGTTGTATATTTTATCTATCAATATTTTCTATCACCAACTAACCGATCACAGAATGATACGAAACTAATTTCGACGATTTTAGCGATATCTTAAGTAAACGATAGAACCAGTGTTCTTTATTAATTTAGCTAACTCTGTATAAATATAAATAAGAGCTACGAAAGAGATCGGATATATTTGTCTTCAAAATTAGAAAATAGATTTTCTGAATATAGTAATTTGTATCTGATGGTAAATTGTTCGCATAAAAGATGAACCAATCGATATACGAATAATGAAGAATTCATTGCTTTCAAACAAATCTAATAATTATGACGTAAGATAAAGTTTCGGCGTGTTAAAATTTTAATCATATTTAATATTTCTTCGTGACCTTCCTTGATTTTGCATAAGTAAAATATCTATAGGAAGAATAATAACAATATAGGGGTCAATTGTCGATCAATACCACCTTTTAGCGTGAATAATACGAATTACCGACCAGTTATGTACAGGAGGAATTTGTGGTCTAAATTGAAAGCGTAATCGGATGAAATGTACAAGATTTTCCATTGAAAAGCTGTACATAAACTTTCATTTGATTCGTAAACAATTCTAACTTTCAATATCACTGCATATCAATAAATACATCGAAGCTGATTCCTAAGTTGGTACTGGTTACATATTAGCTGTTCTAAGCAATTAAACTCCTGCTTGTCAGAATAAAATAATCATATATTATTACTAAAAAATCATTCAGATTGATGATTTTGCAGGATATCGATGTGAATGAACACAATGGTATTACCTACTGTCACAAAACAGCTTTGCAACAAGATAAGGTAATGTACGATCAATAAGTTAATTCCTTGAACCACGTATCAAGGAACGATATCAGTACTATCAGAAACACTTTTGCTCTACTAGCAGACTATACAAAGACTTAAACGCCTCGTATTTTACGTTAAACACTAAGTTTGAGAATCTACTTTATTACACGATATACTGCATTTATATACTATTCCTCAATAGTTCATGAGTCATAGTTAGTACGACTAACTTTGGAATCATGTACTGAATTAGATATCAATTATAGCTACTGCTCCCTTAATGTGTACAACAGTATTTACGAACATAGACATCTAATGACTAATACAGAATAATCAGATTACGATATGTCCTATCACGGAACATTTCCACGATAATTTACAATCTACCATAAGTAAATTACAATCACAATGATTCGAACTGTAAGTAGATGATTTGCATTCCCTATTATAACTATTAATTCAGTATATGTATATATGTCTCTGTCATAAAAAGTCAGTGCTATATTAAAACACAGTATATCCAAATTAGAAGTTAACTAAATAAGGATTGGGTGCCAAGATTCCTTCAGTAATAAATGATAGTAAATCTCTGACTATCTCGTCTACATCTTCTGTGACGCTATAATTATACCATAGTATTCGGTCGTTGGAACTGAATTATTTGGTGATATAGCTAATCTCGCCTCTTTAAGTTAGTAACTGGCGTTCTCCGCAAGGATTGGCGTGTGTAGACTACTTTGTCACTAGTGGTGTGTGACATCCTAACATAGATATTTCTACTCTAATACAGTATATAGCACTGTCACACCTACTTTATCATTTTAGTTTGTTTTATGCATTAAATCCAAATTTTATTTCTAATCGTTATTAGACACTGGATGATTCGGCTGCTGATGTTTGAGCAGGTACATCACTGTCCGCATAAAGCCTGAGTAACAGTTCATCATCTATAAATAAATTTCATGAAAGTAAATCGAGCCTAGTAGAGAATGCATAACCTTTGACTGATAATACCTTATTCAGTAGCATTATGTAAATTCATTTGCTTTATTATGCTTGTTAAAAGCTTAACTTTGACGGAGTTACGGTTCTATTATTAATTATTAAGCTGAGCGCATGTCTCATCAAATAGTATTAATTTCTACATTATTAATAATGGAAATGATTTCATGAAAGAATCACCTGCCGGTTTTACTTTGTTGTAATGCTGTCAGAAAAATGGAATTGGTGTCTCGCGGTACATTATTACATGAAATTTACACAAATCGTAAATACTTATAGGGTTGTGCTTAAATCAGCTAGAAAATTATCTTTTGCCAGATTGTAAACAGAAAGTAAACCTTTAAATTTAGGTATGGTAACGATATCTTTTATGCAATATTTTGATGAATAGTTTATTAAAGAGGATGTTTTAACTTTGTTATTATCTCTATGACGCGCATATAAGGGTATCATAGCGTTTATAGTAATGAAATTATATCTTATACGAGCTGGATAAATTATTTTTGGGGGATTGTCAGCTTAGAAGTAATTTAAATAAGCAATTTTTATACGGTATATTTATTATTCTATAATATATCACTGAAAATTTGAAGGCAATTTAAACCCGGGAATAAGGAACACTAGTTAAAAGTTGAAGGAAGATTACAAATATTTTGCTGATTTAAATTAAAATTAGTACACTGGTAATAGTCTGTCATTTTTTCGTCGATCATAAATTTGCAATGGCTGCGTTACATTATATTTCAAAACAGTCACATAATAATGTGACAACACTTAAATTATCCCACGCTAAAATATCACTAATTTACTCCTCCAATCGCTAAGCTATCTAGAAATACCCTAACAGAAGGGTCAGAGACAAAAATTTTAGCACGATAAGAACAACTTTCACGTTATACCTTTAATCTAAAAATAATATATCTTCAACAACAACCGACTACAATTTTTATCTTTATATTAGCTTATATGTAAATTAAATTAAGATATCATAAAACAGGCTTAAAGAAGACATTTAGTCTGATAATGTCAACTCAAATAAAGCGATTCAAACACAATAGATTCTTACTCGGTTAAACCCTATTGTTAACTTAAATGAAATAAAAAATTATAGCGGATCCTTAGTTTAGCGCGTAGAAAAATTATAATATAGTTTATGTTAACGTACTGCAAGTAACCTAGACTTAAGCGAGCTTCTGTTTGGACACTCTTATGAGTTGGCACAATGTGAATGGTACCTTTATTCTAATCTGCTATTCTTTTCCTTGGTTTATCCATGTTTTGCACAAGTGTGAGTTTCATAAAAAAAATAGTTATTCTCATTCTTTATGTTTGGTTCGATTACTGTAAAAATAAAACAGCTTACTTCTGGTTTATCCGGAAGGGTGCTATTTTAAAGATGGGACTACCGCTGCTGGACTCAGAGGTAAAAGATAAACCTAATATCTATACCAAAGAAAATGTACAGACGACTATCTTTCGTTACAAACGGAAGAATAAAATTTCTATCCAACAGCTTTTTTCAAGCCTAAATAAATCTGTAAGGAAAACCAGTTATATACCGTAGTAGGCAGGTTGCTGGGACTACAGTCAAAATTATCGATAACAAAAGCTCTATTTACGTAACTTTCTATTCTGTTGAAATATTTTTCGATTCTATTAACATTAATCTCCAAAATATATAAAGTGCTAATACCATAATTAGAAAAGGGAAATATTCCACTGTAAAGCCATAGTTAATAACCAAGTATAATAATAGACAGGACTACTTAGGTATGCTTTTAATTCTACTGCTTTCTTTGTAACTCAGAAATTGTATGATAACATATAAGGAAAATATTTAAGTATGCGCTAAACAATATAAGAACTCAATATTAAACCATCAAGTTTCAGTTAAGATAATAAATACCGGTATTTCTTATCGAATTTTGAACAATTTTAAATTTAGATAGATCTACGAAAGAAACTTCTAAAATAGATATAAAAAAAGGTTTATTGTAATAATAATGGAGAATTTTTCAAGAATTTTGACGAGTAATTTATGGAGCAAATTACCGGCTGCCCAAATTATTTCAAATTTCACCATTTGACGATTTAGTTGCATTTAGATAGCAGTAGGTAGTTCCAACAAAGATAATTAAATTAGACAACTTTTACTCGTATTGTTATAGTCCAGTAATGAAACAGAAACGTATGCAGTATTGCACAAAACAATATTTTAAGTTGCGTAGAGCGGAATTATCGACTCCTATTTAGAACTAATCATGACAAAATTGACAATACGTATACATCGAGGTAAGAGCTTAAAGAATAGCTAGATTAATATAAATAGCTATCCTAAGAAATTTTAGTCATTGTTATTATATTTAGATGAAAATATATCTAATTGACATTCATTTCAGCATCTAAGGTTTGAATGCAAGACACTGTGATAAAATTGATCATGAGTTTCCTAACTTTGCAGAAAGATATTTAATAATTTATTAGATTTTCTCGCAAAATATATTGTACCATGTGCTGCTATATTCTAGCTGAATCTAACCACTAAAATGATCTTTAAAGTAATTACTGGATCATCTAAAGTTGATTGCTTATAAATTATCATTCGCATATACGGCCTCAATCGGCTCAGTCATGTTATCTCCTTACTTTACCTAAAGAATATCTTAATAAGCTGAGGTTTTATGGTCTGTAAACATACAAATTAGGAACCCATAATAATATTTTTCAGAATTTAAATACGAAGGCAAGATTTCACTTAAACACAGCTGTAGAGCCCACTTAGAGCTTGAATAATGGATTGAACTCGTTCGCTATTATTATAAGTTAAATTTGAAGACACTAATATTTTGCTATGGTATACTATAAGAACAGTACAACCAGTGATATT